CAGGGGTGGGCGGGAGGGAGAGTAATTAACTGGCTAGAGGGTAGACACATGTTAACTCAGGTGACAAGAAAAGAGAGGTTGGCAAAAGAATAATGAAAATAGGTGAAGACATAGGAAGGTATGCAAGGGCTAAAAGTGTTAGAGGTAAATAACAATATATATACAACCTTGGAACAACATATACCTGTGGGTATATACATGAACAGATTCATAGGCTGAACAGGTATTTGATAAAGAGTGGAACTATAAACACAAATATATAAGGATTTGAAAGAGGATACTTATACATGGGTATTTGCCTTTGCTGCAAACACAACTATAGATATGGTAAAGCATACTTGGGACAAAATGATGAAAACTTCTTAGATATTATCAAAAATCTTAAAGCAATGAGTTTTGGGGCTTAGGGGCTCTGGATCATAGTCTCAAGGGACAATCACGGTCAATTGGCATAACATATTCCAGAAAGACAATGTTCTGTATCCTACTTGGGTGAGTAGCATCTGGGATCTTAAAAGTTCATGAGCGGCCATCTAAGGTACAACTATTGGTCTCTCCATGTGTGAAAAACAGAATAGTGTTAAAGATGCTTGTAATCCATTAGTAAACTGGACTGAGGTAACATGTGAACATCAGTCTCCGCAACACTGAGACCAGAAAAGCTAGATGGTGCCTGGCTACCATTACCAATTGCTATGAAAGAGATTACATTAGAAGATCCCAGATAGAGTGGGAGAAAATGTGGAACAAAACTCAAAATTATTTAAAATTACAAAAATTAGACTAACTATTCAGAAAGTGACAGAGGCACCCGAGACTTGGGCCCTTGACCACATGTCAAGTCTGGAATGGAATTCATCCTCATCGCCCAATTTTCAGCCAAGCAGTTGTTGTTGTTGTTAAGTATCTTATTGTTGGTTCTGACCCATAGCAACCCTATGTATAACTGAACGAAACGTCGCCTGGTCCTGTGCCATTGTGACAATGGCTGCTACACTTGACCCAATTGTTACTGCCACTATGCCAATCCATCTTGTTGGGGGTTTCCTTCTTTTTCTTTGTCCTTCCACTTTACCAAGCATGACTTTCTCCAGGGATTACTCCCTTCTAATAATAAGTCCAATATATGAAAAACTAAGTCTGATCGTCTTGGCTTCTGAGAAGCATATTGATTGTACTCTTCCAACACAGATTTCTTTGTTCTTCTGGCAGTCTATGGTACCTTTAACCTTCTTCTCCAGCACCATAACCCAAATGAGTCAATTCTTCTGTGATCTCCTTTATTCACTGTCCAACTTTCACATGCCTATGAGACTATTGAAAATACCATGACTTTGGTCAGGTGCACTTTAGTCCTCAAACTAATATCTTTGATCTTGGACACTTTAAAGAGGTCTTGGGCAGCAGATTTGTCTAATGCAATACGTCATTTGGTTTCTTGAGTGTTGATGGTAGATCGAAACAAAATGAAGTCTTTGACAATTTCAATCTTTTCTCCATTTATCATGATGTTACTTATTGATCCAGTAGTGAGAATTTTTGTTTTCTTTATATTAAGAGTTGGTCTTTGGTCTTCATCAGTAAGTATTTTAAATTATCTTTACTTTCAGCAAGCAAGGTTGTATCATCTGTATATCACAGTTTATTAATGAGCCTTCCTCCAATCCTGTTGCCACATTCTTCTTCATATAATCCAGCTTCATGGAATATTTTCTCAGCATACAGATTGAAAAAGTATGATGAAATAATACATTCCTGGCACACATCTTTCCTCATTTTAAACCATTCGGTGTCTCCTCTTTCTGTTCAAACAACTGCCTCTTGGTCTATATATAGTTTACTCAGGAGCACAATTAAGTGTTTCAGAATATTCATTCTCCACAATGTTGTCGGCATCTTGTCAGGATGAACAAAGCCAAAAACCTTTGCATAAACAATAAAGCACAGTTAAACATCTTTCTGATATTCTCTGCTTTCAGCCGTGATCCATCTGTCATCAGACATGTTCTATACCCTCACCTGAATCCGGCTTGAGACTCTTACAGTTCCCTGTTAATATACTGTGGTAGCCATTTTTTAATTCTGTTTAGCAAAATTTTACTTGCATGTGATTTTAATGATATAGTCCAATGATTCCCGCATCCTATTTGGTTACCTCCCTTTGGAATGGGCACAGATATGGATCTATTCCAATTATTTGATCAGCTAGCTGTCTTCCAAATTTCTTTTACTTGAGTGGGTGCCTCCAGTGTTGTGTCAGTTTGTTGAAATTTTTCTATTTATTTCTGTGGATTCCTGGAAACTTGTTCTTTGCAAATGCCTTCTGTGCACATTGGATTTCTTCCTTCAGTACCATATGCTCTTGATCATACGTTACCTCTTGAAATAAATGAACATCAACCATTTCTTTTTGGTACAGTGACACTGTGTACTCCTTCTATGTTCTCTTGATGTTTTTTACATCAGTCAATATTTTGCAAAAAGAATCCTTCAGTATTAAAAGTGGAGACTTGAATTTTTTCCTGTTATTTTAGCTTAAGAAATGCTGAGCATGTTCTTCCCTTTTGGTTTTCTAACTCCAGATATTTGCACATTTCATTATAATATTTGATTTTGTCTTCTCAAGGTGCCCTTTGAAATTTTCTATTCAGCTCTTTTGCCTCCTCATTCCTTCCATTTGCTTTAGCATCTCTAAGCTGAAGAGCAGTTTTCAGAGTCTCTTCTTACATCCATTTTGGTCTTTTCATTTTGCCTTGTCTTCTTAATGATTTTATGATTTCTTCCTATATGATGCTCTTGATGTCATCCCACAACTCTTCTGATTTTCAGTCATTAGTGTCTAATGCATCAAATCTGTTATTTAGATGATCTCTAAATTCAGGTGGGACATGGTCAAAGTCCTATTTTGGCTCTTATGAACTTGTTTTAATTTTCTTCAGCTCCAGCCTGAACTTGCATATGGGCAATTGTTGGTCTGTTCTACAATCTACCCCTGATCTTGTTTTGAATGATGATATGGATTGTTTCCATCTGGTGAAGTCCATGTGCATAATCTGTTTTTTTAAATGTTATTTTTAAAAGTTATTTGCAATTAAGTAGTTTTGGTCTCCAAAATTTTATCATGCACTCTCCAATATATTTTCCAAATACTGACCCTTCTTCATTTCCAATCTTTGTATTCAAATTATCTGAAATTTTCAGTACATCTTGATTGCATGTTTCAACTGAAGAAGCTGTTAGAATTTTTCAATTTCATTATCACTGGCTATAGTGGTTGGTGTGCAAATTTGAATAATGATGATATTAACCAGTTTTCCTTTTTGGCATAGGGATATTATCCTATCACAGACAGCATTATACTTTAAGATAGATCCTGAAATATTCTTTTTGATGATGAATATGATGCCATTCCTCTCAAAATAGTCATTTCTTGCATAGTAAACATATGTGGTTGTCAGATTCAAAATGGCCAATGGCAGTCCATTTCAGCTCAGTAATGTCTAGGATATCTAGGCTTACACATTCCATTTTACTTCCAATTTTCCTAGTCACACTTTGTACATTCCCTGTTCCAATTATTAATGGATAGGTGTAAATGTGTTCCTCAATTTTGAGTAGAGCTCCATCAACAAATGAAGGGACTAAAGGCTGTATTCCATTCACATCATCACAGTCAATTCTATTTCGAGAAAGCAACTTTTCCCCAGTCATATTTTAAGTATGTGCCAACCTGAGGAGCTGATCTTCTGGCATTATATCTGACAACATTCTGGTGCTATACATCATGTTTCAATATTCAACATTCTGGTCCTAGCTGACAGTATTTCACTGCTATTCATAAGGTTTTCAGTGGCTAAAAATCCAGAAGTAGTCTTCCTCTCCTTCTTCCAAGTTTGTCTTAGTCTGGAAGTTCAAATGGAAACTGTCCACCCTAGGTTACCCTGCCGGCATTCAAAATACTGGTGGCATAGCTTCCAGCATCACAGCAAAACACAAGCCACCAGAGCGGAGCAAACTGACAGATGGGTGATAATTGTTGTTGTTATTATTAAGTGCCATTGATTCTGACTCACAGTGACCTTGTATAGGGGTCCAAGGAATGGCTGGTGAGTTCTGAAGCACCCACCATGTGATCCAAAGTGACCTTGTAGTGTAGTGCTCATCCTACAGCACCACACCAGGATTTCAGATAGGTATATAGACGGGAATAATAACACTAGTAAGGTAGTATGGTCAACCATTCAAAGTTAAAAGGACAACATTTACTTAAAGACAAAGCTGAGAAGGGATAGGAAGGTGGGTGGAATGGAAATTGGAAGGAAGTGGGATAACTATTGTTGCGTAGAGGGGATTGCAATCATTGAGATGAAACCAAGTATGTGATTTGCTGAATTTAAAACTGATAATCTTGTCTTTAAACCATCACTCAATTCACAATGAAACGTTTTTGGTGCTTTGTTGTTGCTGCTGTTGTTGTTGTTGTTGTAACTGTTCTCCAACATTAAAATCTGATGCATCAGAGAATAAGTTCCATGAAGGCTGGGTCCTTAGAAATGTCTATCAGCATCATCTCTGTGCCTAGGAAATGTGGCCAATGAACAAATATACCCTTATTCTGTCACTAATCTCATTTTGTGGTTTGTCTTTTATCCTTTTGGTCCAAGCTATCCTTTCTATTCAAAAAGAAAAAGCTATTTCACAAGGCAATTTATTTACATAGATAAAAGAAATGGCAAAAGCAAATGATGTACAGAATGACTGCATGCAATGTGTAGTGTGACAATGTGTTTATGAAGTGTGTTCACTTAGTGGCTCCTCTGGGAAAAGATAATTACATTAATAGCAGCTTTTCTTATTAAATATAGGTCATTCAACAAAAGGACTTTCTTCTCACTCTCAATTCTGATGTATTATTTATCAGTTAACCCTCTTTATGTACTAAGTAATTCACAGTCTATCACTTATATAACACATTTAAGTGCTGCCTTTGAAATTCTTACCTTCTTGTAATTCACTGCCATTTTCCAAAGGTTTTTCTAACTTTTTTTCCACTGTAGGAGCTAAGCTCTTTGAAGATGAAATATCTTGAGGATTATGAAATCTGTAGTATTCACCTAACCTCCCCATAAGAAAATGAGTGGTTAATATATTTGTCACACTAAGTATTAAAAAATTCACAATTGTTTGATTTCTTACCAGATTTATAACACATCTCCTTTATTGCTCTTTTTTCTTCAATTTCTTCAGGTGTCTTTGTCCATAAACTAGAAGCATCTATAGGATATATTTGTTTTAAATTAAAGTGTCCCATAGCCAAATAATCTGAAAATTTATAAATAAGAAAGAAAAATCCCAAAGATTGTTCTCTTGGATGAATTATTGGTTATTCTATATTTAAAATAACACATTTTACATACTAAAATGTTTCTAAGTACTAAATTTTACAAATGAACAGATAGGAGAAAATAAATGGCTACATAATGATCCAAGATGATACGTGATGTCTCTTGAAATGAAAGAGTATAAACTCCTATGAGCACCTGTTGAGATCTGTGTTTATTTGGATGAATATTTAAGTAGAGGGGACTCAGAGAAACAGTAAAAAAGAGTAATAATCTAAAAATGAAATTCACTGCCATCTAGCCAATTCTGGCTCAAGTCAATTCCAACTCATAGTAGAATTGTCCCAAAGGGTTTCCAAGACAGTAAAGCTACATGGAAGCAGAGTGCCACATCTTTCTCTGTCTCTTGGAGACAGAATGCTCATTCACAGTGGAGTGCTCATTCACAGAGGATTCTATGTATCCTACAGAAACTCTGATGGCCTGTTGACCAAAGAAGGACATGCTTCAGGGCAAAGGCAGAGTTGACAGATTGTTTCTGCCTGTTTTTCTTCTCCGGCCACACTTACCAGCATCACTGTGCTATGATAATACAGTAACGAAAGGATGGACTAGAAAACAAAAGACCTGGATTCTTCTTGTTGTTAGGTGCCATCAAGTTGGTATGGACTCATAGCGACCTTACTCACAACAGAACAAAACACTGCCTGGTCCTGGACTAACCTCACAATTGTTGCCATGCTTGAGCCCTTTGATGCTGCCACTTTGCCAATCCATCTTGCTGGAGGTCTTCCTCTTTTTTTCTGACCCTCCACTTTACCAAACATGATATCCCTCTCCAGTGGATGTTACCTACTGACAATATGTCCGAAGTTTGGCCATCTTGGCCTCCAGGGAACACTCTGGCTGTACTTCTTCCGACATAGATCTGTTTGTTCTTTTGGCAGCCAATGGTACTTTCAATATTCTCCTCCAACACAGTAACTCAAATGCATCAATTCTTCTACGATCTTCCTTATTCACTGGCCAACTTTTGCATGCATATGAGGTTATTGAAAATACCATGGCTTGGGTCAGGCCCACCTTAGTCCTCAAGCTGACATCTTTGCTCTTCAACACTTTAAAAAGGTCTTGTGCAGCAGATTTGCCTAATATAATACCTGGGTTCTAGCCCTGTTTGTATTCCTGTGAGGGGTGCATGAAACAGTGCAGCTGACTTTACTCTATGTAATGCTTTATATACTGTAAAGTACACTGGTTATGTGTAACTGCAAGAACAAAATGTGAGACAAATGATAGATCAATATATTGATAGATATATATCAATGAGGTTTAGAAACAGTTACGTTAAATATAAATTAAGAAGGTTATCAGTATTCGTACAGGCAAATAAACATATTTAAACAAAATATCCTTTAGCTATCATATAACAAAAATGTTCCAATCCAGATGATCATAATAAGCATCATTCATTTGCAATAAATTAGAACACAATGACTTTAATAGGCAAAATAACTACATACTTTCTCATGTAAAACCTAAATTATAAACTTCTAGTGTTATTGTTGTTAAATGTCTTTGAGTCATTCTAACTCATAACAACCCTGTATAGGGTTTCTGAAGAGTGGCTGGTAGATTTGAACCACCAACTTTGTGGTTAGCAGTCCAATGCTTATTCTACAGTGCCACTCCAGGATGTCATTGTAGAAAGTAATATAAAGTTTTTGAACGCCATTACAAATCTAAGGAAAAGTTTACTAACCATTTTGTTCCTTTTCTTCTTCCTCTTCTTCCTCAAAGTTAGTTTTTAAAACTAAAGGATGGTGAATGGGTCGAGATATATTTTCCTGAGGCTTCAAAGATTCCTGACTCTGGGTGAGAGGTAGAATTCCTTCCTGATTTTCTTTCTGTAGTGTGATATCTACCAGGAAAATGTAACATTTCAGTCTTTTCAATATATGATGAGGATGCTCAAATTCCAACCATTATTAGAATAATTCAAATTAACTTCATTTTGTTAAAAAGTCTCCCTTCTTACTTTTTGAAGGATTATTAAATTCACAAAAAAAATAATAGATTTTGCTTATAAGGGATGGAAAATATGCTAATTCACATACTTTGTTGTTGTTGTTAAGTGCCATTGAGTAGGTTCCAACTCATAACAACCTGTATAGAGCTTCCAAGGAGCGACTGGTGAGTTTGAACTGCCAACATTGCAGTTCACACTGACCTTGTAGTCCAGCGATTATCCCAGCTCATCACACCAGGACTCCATGACTTTATATTGCACATTTTTGGTACAAATCCAACATGATCACAAACACTATATTTTGAGAGATATGATTAAGTTTACTAATTACATTGCAACAAACTAACAAAGACAACATCAAATAGGCATTTTTTACTCCAAGTAGAACTGCCCCATAGTGTTTTCTAGGCAGTAATTGTGCCCTAATTATATGTCGGAGGACTGCTGTGTGGTATCATTCTAAGTGGGAACTGACTCTATGGACCTTAACAACAATCTTTAAAGAAGCAAATCACCAGCTCTTTCACTCTCAGAGTGGCGTAGCACTTAACCATTGCACTAATGTTGTGAAGTGCTGTGCAGTCAGAATCTGACTCAAAATGACCCTGTATAGGGTTTCCGAGGAGCAGCTGGTTAACTTGAACCACCAACCTTGTGGTTGAAATCGACCTTCCAGTCCAGCCCAATAGCCCGCAGTACCACACCAGGACTTGTACCATAGAAAAGCTCATCTTAGCTGTCTACTGAGGTAAGTTAAAAAGCATTGCTACAAAATCAAAACACCTTTATAAATAAAAAGATCAAAATGTAAAGCCATTTTTTCTCAATATAACCTCCATGTAGGTCTAAGCATTTCAGAAGGCAGAAATCTCTCTAACCCTTCCCCCCAAAAATTCTGTGTTCTTTGATTTATAAAACATCAAACTGACACATCCTAGAGGGACTCAAGTCATGTTTCTTTAAAATGTTGAATTTTGGGAAACAAAATGCCAGAGGGATCAATATCAAGGCTATGAGGAGGATGGGGGAAAGTTGCCTAATGAAATTTTAGTGGGACTGCCCTTGCTACCTCCAGAAAAATGAGCAGATGTATTATTGAGATGGAAAAAAATTCTTGGTGCCACTTTCCTGGCCTTTTTCTCAACAATGCAGTTTTCAACTTATTTAAAACATTTTTATAATAAGTCCCCATGGTCGTTCTGGATCCTGTAAGAAAATCAATCGAGTTTACCACTTTGGAATCCTAAAAAAACAGTTGCCATAAACTTCTGAGTTGACCTCTCTGCCTTGAACTCTTCCTGACCATCCCTAAAATACTTGGTCAATGTTAAACTCTTGTTTTATGTGGGGTAGAATTCCCATAAATTAGTTGTAAAATTCAATAAGCTGGGAAGATGCCCACTTGAGTTTTGTTAGAAATTTGACATTAGCGCTGACTTAAAATTGTTTCCCAATGGCACAAAAAAAGTATCCTTTATTTATTTATTTATTTATTTTTTTTAAAGACACCGTGGGTTAATGCACTGGACTGCAAGATCAGTTTGAATTACAAGGTTAGCAGATCAAGCTCACCAGCTGCTCCTTAGAAACCCTATTCAGGGTCACTATGAATTGGAATCAACTTGATGGCACTTAACAACAAGAAATGTGTTAGTTAAAGAATGTGTCTGCAGCCATCCACTGATTTCAGAGATATATTATCACACTTGTTTGGAATAAATCCCATGCATACATTAGCTGAACCCTAGTGGCAATACTTTCCCTCATATTTCTCTGATTTTCCTTGGAAACGCCTAGTAGGTGTTGTGTGGTTTAGTTTGCTAGACTCAAGGAACTACCGTTGTGATGTGCCATGGAGTTGGTTCCAATTCCTACCGACCCTGTAGAGGGCTTCCAAGGCTGTAAATCTTTATGGGAGCAGAAAGCTTCATCTTTCTCCCATGGAATGGCTGCTAGTTTCGAACTGCTGACCTTAAGGTTTGCAGCCCGATTTGTAACCACTACACTATCAGAGCTCCTTCATGGAACTATCAACCTCCTCTTAATTGCTTACCATTAAAAACTCCATTGTTGCCCAGAGTGTTGATAAGCTTAAACTTATGCACAATCGTTTCCAAATAAAGCCAATTCCCTAATGAAGAGTTTCAGAGCTGTCTCTCCCATGACTTGCCTCCCACTCTGGACAAAACCTCAGGGCTACTGCTCCATAGCTGGACAAAGGCTCAGGTGCCCCCTTTTCTCAGTCACACTCCTGCTTTAAAGGTGCACCAATGGACAGTGGTGGTATCCTCTGGTCTATTGGGCATGGAACCCTACTCTATGTGCAAGCTTGGGTAAAGGTAATGAGAGAACTCTCATTCTACCATAGGTGGCATAGAGCTTCTGCCCTTTAAGTGAGGCTGTGTAAAAGAAGAAATTCCCAGACCTGTCAGACACTCTTTTTTATTATTATTATGAATTATGTGATAGTTTACATGGCAGAACATTAGCTTTACATTCATCCTATCGGATATAATTTCATTGTCATGGTTACAAACCCCTCCATGCATCATCAAACAACTAAAGGGTATACCCTGTAAGCCTGCCTCCCAGTCATCAGCACACAGTCCCTCTCCCTCTCTGGGTCTAGAGTTCCCAGCCACTCAATCTCTCCATGTAATTGTCTCTGCCTCTATCTCTGGCATCAGTTCTTCTCTGGGTGGGGTCCCACATTCTGCTCTTCTCTCTCGATGGTCCCAGGAACCACCGCTCCTAGACTGCAGAGTCAATCACTCCTCTCCTTTTGCTACAAAACATCTACTTTTACATTTCTAAACCTCACAGTCAGTCCTGATAATAATTATTCACTATTGTACCACAAGAGACCTATCCCCATCTCCTTTCATCAGTCCCACCCAAACAGACTGGATACGACTCAGTGGAGATTCTACCTTCCTCCATGCCCTCTGGATCTAGTCTCCCTCTTGAAATCTTGTAAGCCAGTCACTTCTTGCCTTTGAAACCCCCCAGTGTCCAAGTTGCCTACACCCCTGTCTACTCTGTGTGGAGGGGGTGGGAATGATCCTCTCTGTAAAGATTTGTTTCCTCTTTTGAGCTACTGCATCCATAGGTGTAGGTCAAGTTCATCAAATTGTATCAGATTACTCTTTTTTTTTCTCTTCTTTCTTCTTCTGGTTGAGTTCTGATCATCCAGTCATTGAAGCCAGGTCAAGTGGGTATTATCTGCAAGTATGTGTGTTTTTGTGCATATGCCCTCTCTTCTTATCAGCTGGATGCTTCACTCTCCACTCTAGTCCTCTGTGGCTATGTCACTGACTCTGGGCCCAAGAGTCCCCAGGTCTTGCCACACTGCTGGCCAATCAGGTCTCCACCGGGTTCACAGGAGTCTACTGAACATGGTAGGGCTTAGCTCGCAGCTTCATTGCTGTTTTTCCCTCACTTCCCCATATCAGTGATGAACATGGTCACCAATGAGAGCGCGCATGTCTGCTCATGTATTCCCATTGAGTCTTAGTCTTAGAAGGAGGTTTGTCCTGAGGGGACCCGATCACTTGCCTTGATGTCTCCTGGGCGGGCAATTTGTGTGTTCTTGTAGTAATCAGTCAGACCGCTGTTATTGTTTTGTATTTTTCCTGCTTGTCTTTCTTTCAAAAAGTATCTTCTGTTCTTCTAGCCACTCTAGGCTAGTCTGCTTGTCCTTTCCAGTGGAAATTTTCAACCTCAAAAAATTCTGGATGGAGTTCAGGATTCTACCTATGGTCTTATGTAATGCTGAGGTTCCACAGGAAACCTCCTTCACTGAGCACATTGTAGTCCCATTTTAGGTATTCCAATCAGTTATAGGCAGAAGATGGACTTACAAGCTTTCTATGGTGATATTTCTGGCTATTCATTTCTCTGCCCCTCAAGTGTCTACTTTTAACGGTATGCCAGGGAAACCAAGATTTACAATACAGCCAAGCATCTTAAAATTATTTCCCTCCTTTTGCCCATTCCAACCATGTCTCAATTCCTGTGTCCCAGAGCCCTGTTGTTCCAAGGTTGTGCATAAATCATGTCAGTCACTCTTGCAAAAGGAATAAAGGAGGATGAAAAATGCTAAGCAACCTTCTCCTCTCAAGGAGATACCAGAGTCCTCCATTGAATTTTTGGGAAAGAGGGAGTCTGTGTTCTTGGCTGCATCTGCCCAGAGTGGAACTTCTTTCATACTGAGTTGGTGGGCGTGCCTGGTTCTCAGGTCATAGGCTCTTACTGTTCTTACAAAGAATTTGTAGATGCCTTGAATGAATGTTTCTTCTTTGCTGTAAGCCCTTAGGACAATTTCCAGAGACTTTAAATAATTATGCTTTTGTTTAATTTTCACCACCATTTGTTTATGTTTGTCACAATGTAGTGGCATGCATGCTGCTGTGATGCTGGAAAAGAATTATCATGGAAAATTGGAAATTGTCAGATATGAAATGAAATGCTTGAAGATGGGTAGATATCCTAGGCATTAGCGAGCTGAAATGGGCTGGTATTGGCTATTATGAATCACACAATCATATGGTCTATTACGTCGAGAATGACAAATTAAAGAGGAACGGTATCACATTCATTAATCTCAAAGCACTCCATTTCATGTTTGAAAACTTACATGTTCCAATTACTAATGGATGTTTCCAGTTATTTATATTTATTCTTCATTGGTAAATGAAGGTACTGAAAGCTTTACTCCATTAGTGTCATTGAGGTCAACTCTTCTTTGAGGAGAACTTCCTCAGTCACATGTGGAGTACCTTCCAACTCGCCTCTTTGGGCATGATTATCAGACAGTGCTCCACTGCTATTCATAGGTTTTCCCTGGCCAGTTTTGTCAGAAGCAGATTGCCAGCGCCTTCTTCCCAGTCTGT